CCCCCCCCCCAGCCCCCCTGGGAAACTAAACGCTGTCCCCAGGGGACAATAATAAATTAATCAAATCTATACACAGGACTGCTTAAAGCTCTGTAACGGGCACCCGAGGGGGGCAGCGGCTCTGCCCTGGGCAGCCCCCCCATAATCAGGGCCCTGTGGGGTGTCCCCTGAGATGGGACCCCCACCCTGGCATCCCCCTTGCGGGGCTGGAGCCGGGGACGCTACTGGCCCCCAACAGGCCAGGGAGGCTGGAGGGGTAGGAAGAAAATATTGCAAAAAGGGACAGGGGAGAGGAGCTACGGGCGCTGCAGCCAGAGGGGCTGCCTGCCCTGCCCGCCCCGCCCGCGAGGGGACGAGCCCCAGGGGGTTTCCCCTCCCGGCAGCTCCCCTGCGAGCAGCCGGGCAGAACCTCAGAAGTCCAAGGGTGTGAAGTCCCCAAAGTCACAGTCGAAGAGCTCGCTGATGCCCTCGCCCTCCTCCAGGCCGAAGTGGTAGTCCTGCGCCTGCGGCGGCGACAGGTTGATGAACTCGTCCGCCAAGAAACCCGAAAAATCGTCCCTGCTCTGCTCCAGGAGGGCGTCCATGGAGGCCAGCGGCGAGAGGCTCACCTCCTCCGCTGGGCACTTGCCGGGCAGCGCGCTCGTCCCTGGCAGCAGTGTTTCTGTGGGGATGGGAAGCAGTCGTAAACCCCACAATCCTTACCAAAAAACCCAAAAAAAGCCGTTTTTGACTACATAGAACCTGCCTTCCCACCTCCCTGCCTCGCTGAGGTGCCCAAGCATCACCCCAGCTCCTTGCTTGTGCCAACAGCAGAGGCCACAGCTGCAAACACAGCAAGAGCCCCCAGCTAGAGCCACCATGCCAGCATCCCTGTGTCCCCAACGCCAGCCGCCCACCTTGCTCTCCAGGCAGCAGAGACATATTCACGTCCTGGGCGGGATGCAGGAGCGGGGAGGATCTGGGCTGCGAATGGCTGGGGGACGACTCCTCTGCGGGGGCTTTGAAGGGGCTCTTGACGGGGCTACAGACCCCCGAGCTGTCCTCGGGGCAGAGGAAGACGTCGATGGGGCCCTGAGTGCTTCGCACGGAGACCTGGAAAGCCTGGGGAAAGGGGAGAGGAGTAAGACAAGGAGGCACAAGGATGCCCAGGGAGCCTGGGCTGGGCTTTGCAGACATGGGGAGGAGAGGGTGGCTCCAGCTCACCTCCGCTGGGTCCGAGACCTGCAGCTGGGTCTCCGGGGGGGCTTTGATAACCATCACCATTTGCTCCGATGGGTCCACAACGCTGCGGAGATCCTGGCAGGTCACGTAGGCTGCGGTGTGGCGGGTCAAGGAGCAGACACAGGGATGCTTTCACGTGGGAGCGGGGTGGGCTGTGAAATGCTCTGACTGCACCACAGCCGAGCTCATCTCGGGGCTCAATCGCATCCCCCCCACCCAGCCAGCCCCGTCCTGGCCCCGCACCAAAGGATATTGCTGGTTGGCGGGGTCCTCGGTGAGCAGGCGCAGCTGCACCGTGCATGTCTGGATGAGGTCGTCCAGCTGCCGCTCGGCCGCTTGCAGCTCCCGCAGCTCCTTCTCCAGCAGCCGGTGCCGGCCCGGGGGCCCCACCGACTGCCCCTGGGGAGCACCGCGGCCATCAGGAGCCAAACTCCACAGCGTGACTGTCCCCAGGCACTGTCCCCACCTGGGCCAGGCTAAATCCCACCCCATACCCAGGGAATCAGCCTTGCGGGAGTTTCCGAGCAGGGCACAGCCCTGGGATCCCTTCCCTGAGCCTGGACACAGCCCCCCACTCCTCAGGCTGGCTTGAGGAGCCCGAGCGGGACTCGTAGCAGGCCCAGGAATACCGATGTGCGTGGGAGCCACCCGCAATTCAGCATCAGCCCTTGCCCGGGGCCGCGGACCATGTGAAGGGGGAACCACCACTCAACCCCCGAGCAGATGCTCTAGTGACACTGCTCTGAGCTTCTCCATCCCAGCAAGACCCTACTCCACCCCAAGTTTGGCCCAGGCAGCTCCCCCATCCCAGGGGACAGCCAGGCACAGCCCCAGGAGTCCAACCCAAGGACGTACAGCCACTGGATGTTGTTCTTGGATTTCTTGGTGATGAGCTGGATGCCCTCCAGGACATTGGTGATGTCGTAGATGCGCCTCTTCTGCACCTTCAGGACCTCGGCCGCCCAGTTGAGATCCACCACACCATCAGGCGACTGGCTCAGCAGCTCCAGGAAGCGCTTAGTGGTGAGGTTCAGCGAGGTCTCATAGCGGGACTTCTCCCCGGGAGACTTTGCCCCTGCCAGCCACCGAGGACAAGCGTGATTTAGCCACAAGGGAAACCCAGTGCTGGAACTGAGAGGCCGCAAAACAGCCCCCCATGCTCACAGGTGGCTCGTGGACCAGGGACCAGGACCAGCACCCCAAACCCCATTTGCTTTCTGAGGGCAATGGGGTGAGCTCCCCACATCCTCCATGGGAAGGATGCTGTGGGACCTGGCACAGGCTCTGACACCCGTGCTCAGTCACGATGGCAAGCTCGGTTGTGACACCAAGGCGCCAGGCAGGGCTCGGGGTGGGGGAGGGGGAGAAGACGATGAAGGGTCCGTTTGGGACGCTGCACCAGCACCATGCCAGCAGCTACAGCTCTTTCCCCCAGGGAGGGATGGCGCCGGTGGGGTGACCAGCAGACGCGCAGGACACCCGCGCCACCAGCCCAGGGGACAGCAGCATGGGCTGGAGAAAGCAGCTAGAAACCGCCTGGCCCCAGGAACAGCTTCTCCACGCTGACACGAAGGGCTGGGGAGAA